GGTATAAAACCCGTCCGAGCCAGCGGCAGGAAGACGAGCGGGTTTTAGGAGCTGGTGGAGTGTTAGGAAGATGCTGGGGTTGAAGCCTGCAGAGATTAAAAATAGGCTGTAGCCAGCCTTCCCCAGCATTTCAGCAACTTAACTGCCTGTTATCCTTGTGACCTACGGAAGAACAGGCAGCGATGGGGGAGATTACCTCTTCCACCACCCTGGCAATGCAGGACGAAATGGTATTTTTCTCCTAACGAGATCCTTCTTCTCTTGCTGTCTGGTGAAGTCTTCTGGAAGGGTGTAAACTGAGTGCTTCCTCCCTGCCTTCTGCCACACCAAGGGACTACCTCCTTCCCCCAGGTTCAACAAGGCACTTCTGGGCGTCAGAGACGAGCTCATTCATTCACATCTTACAGGTCACTTGCAGGCTTCCGTCCTTTGAAAGGGAAAAGGGCGATTTTTGTAGAAACCACTGGATGTCGTGCTGCAGGATTTTTAATTCAAGACATTCATTAAAGAAAGTATTTCACAGCTCTACATTATCCAGTACAATCCACGTTACACCTTTGTACCTACCTTAGCAATGCTGTATTTATATTAAAAAAAAAAACCCCAAAGACAATATATAAGGATAAGATGTTGAAGTGCATACTTTGATCAGGTGACTGAACCTCCTGGCCAACAGCTCGCATGTTACAGGGGTCAGAAGCAGTATTTTCTGCTCTTTGCCCACACTGTGTGTTTCTGCAGTTTGGTTGTGGGACAGAGAAGGCTTCCCTGAGCTGTGGGTTTCTGCTAGCCAGGGGCCCAGGACGTCAGCTGCAAAATTCAGGAAGAATCTTTGTAAAGGCTGCTGTGGTGTAGTTTTTCCCCCCAGCTTTAACTTTCATACATCGGTGAGATCCTTCATCGGAATGGTTGTAGGAAGTCTGAAGGTTGTTTGCGAGTTTTGGTCTCAAGCAGAGCTGAGGGCTGCGATGCCGGGTCACCTGGCTCCAGCCCTGGCTTAGCTGCTTCTGCTTTGCTAAAACACGCTCTCAGGTAACACTTGCAATGGGGAAGGAGTTATGCAAAGATGCAGTGCCTCGTTAGCACCCCTTTCTGTGTATGTGCCCCTTCTAGAGTAGTATGGGTGAATAGTAACAGACTGCCAGACATGCCAGAGCCCTACAGCTCTCTAGAGCCGGTCCTGCTCCAACTCTGGGTGCAATTTTCCCTTGTACAGCTTCTGTGGAGTAAATATCCTCCCCAAGAGAGAGCCACCAGGCAGAAAAACGGTAGACTGGTACTTCCACAGGCACATAGCACTCCCTTGTAAACTGCCTACAGTGCGTAAGTGGGTAGTGTTGGGTGGAGGGGGAAGGAGCCCAAACCAGGGGTGTTTTTTCTGTCCTGGTTTTTAAGTATTCGTATCTGTATGATTCTCTCTGGGAGACAGTAGTGTGTTCGAATGAGATGTGGCTGCGCCTCCTTTAGTCCTCCTGTAACGTGTTTCCAGATTTTCAGCATTGCGGTGGGAGCACAAGAAGTGGGACGCTGTGAGAAGTGGGCCTAAGGGAAGGAATTTGGCACGAAGCCGTGGCTTTCACTGGGTGTTTTGTTGCTGCTCTCTCCCTAGGCACGTTTGTATCCGCTTTCACCGTGCTGTGCGGAGCCCGGACCGACCTCCCCGACAGGCACATGTGTTGTGTCTTCTGGCTGAACATTGCTGCTGCTCTGATTCAGATCCTGACGGCGATCGTGATGGTTGGCTGGATTATGAGTATATTTTGGGGGATGGACATGGTCATTCTCGCAAGTAAGTATAGCCCACTTACCCCCCTCCCCGACTTCTCCCCTCTGTGGCCGTGTTGCTGGGTCCCAGATGATGCCCTGCAAGCCATTGGACTGCACTGTAGGGAAGAAGAGCCGCTGGATGGGCTCTGGAAGTACACGGGAAACACAGGAGGCAGAGGAATTGCTGAGAGGCAGTTGGGATGGGCTCTGTGACACGTCTGGAAAAGCCTCCCATTCCACCACACGGGTTAGGATCTTCCTTTCCCCTTTATAAAATGATAAGTCCGGGAAGGCGTGAGGCCCCACGGCACTGTGAACTCTGCAGCCTGGAGCCCCTTCTGCCCTGGTCACATCCGCAATCGTGTTTGAATGAGAAAGTGCTTTCTCCTCGCAACTCCGGCTGCATCTCGCTGGTTAGTGAGACCTTCCCACGAGGCTGGTTCTGCTCGCAGGGACACCAGCTGTCCCCAGAAAAGCCCTGGGGACTCTCCTGGAACACCCTTCCTCCCCAGAATCCATTTACCCAAAGGCTTTTTATCATGTTTCACACCAAGTTCTTAGGCTGAACAAGACTATTTAGCTATTCCTAGAAGGATTTCCCCTACACCCTCTAAGGACCCTCCAAAACATCCGTCCCGGGGAAGAAGAGAGGAATCCTTTTTTAAGCATATATAATTTAGATCACTCAGTTAGTTAACAATGTATTACTAATCTAGAATACAAGCTCTGTAACTTTATCTGCTAAAGACATTTACTGGTGCAAAGCGATACTCCATTTTGCACCTGTACCATATCTCAGAGAATAAAGGTAACAACCTCACCTTTCAACTCACACTGCTGATTGCGTCTGCAAGACCCCACTCTCTTTCCAAAGGCTGGGAGGGGCCGGTGGGCATAGCCCCAAACTGAACAAGTCTGAGATCCTTCAGGCTGGCAGGGCAGGCAGTTCCTGAAGTGAGCACTTCTCCTGAAGAACAGCTTAGCAGCAGCATTTGCCTTTTGGTTTGAAGAGACTCCACTTTGTCGTCTCAGCTGATGACATCTGTGGCTGCATGACAGATGAGGAGAGAGGATCTCAGGAAATTGCCAGGCACCTGCTTAAAGATTAAATGGATGAACTTGAAAAAAACAGCAGGAAACCAGTGCACATCTTCAGCTGCCAAACCCAGAGGATAAACCCTCTCACCAAACCACCTGCTAATTTCTGAGTCAGCTTCAATTTACAGGCTGAGTTAAGGGCAATCCCCACGCAAAGTAAACAATGGATATCAAAAACCTTAACATAAGCAAGGCAAAAGGCTTTCCTCAGGACGAAGGCAGCACTGCCCTTCGTTTTTCCCTGCAAACCACCTGCCAAGTGTCATCTCAGATGTACCTGCACATCAGGGGTAGCCCAAATTGTTTCTGAGGATAAATTGTGAATCGGTGTACATCTGTGATGTGTCTTTAAGAACCTGCCAATTTGTGTGTAATCCCATAATTACGTGTTTGTAACCATATGCTCTTCTGCTGTTCCTCTGCTGAAAAGCCTCCGTGTGTGGTTCGCTGTCTGGCAGACGCAGTTCTGCAGTTGTGGGGAGAGGCAGGAAAGCATCTGTCCGACCAGAGAGCTACAGCTGAAACCGTGGCTTGCTTTTCTCCATAGTCCTGTTCGTGTATGTCCTCTGGGTAGAGGGGCTGGGGCTCAGGAGGGCATTACTGGTTTTCCGGTTTGGTTGCTGGAGAAAAACCATACAGCTTGGAAGCATCTCTTTGAAGCTCTTCACAGTGCCTAGCTGGACCCCCCACCAGTCTGGGAGGCAGAGGGGGGTGAGCAGCGTGTGGTGGGGATGCTCAGGCCAAGAGGTCCCCAACCCAGCAACAGTATTTCGTCCCGGCCCCTCTGGTGGCAGCAGAGAAGGGTAAGAGGAGTCAACATGTCTTATTTTAACCAGCCGAATATCATCTGACAAGTTGCAGCCCTTGGCAGGTTTTTGCTGTCTCATTAAATAGCTGGGTTTTAAGTTTACTTACCGTGCAGAGAAAATAATGGCTAAATAAAGCAGCTCTTGGTTGATGGAGAATAAAAGAAAAAACCCTTATTTTTCAATCAAAAAAAAAGAACAGATGTGATCAATTGCTCCCAGCTGGATCAAACAGCACTGGCAGACCCAAAATGATGTGTTGTTTTGATGTTTTGTTTTCATGTTTAAAAACAAAAAAAGTAATAACAAGGAAACAATGTTTCAAATGCAAGAAATAAGGCATTTCATTTAAAAACACTTCCAGGAAACAGCTGGCTTTGGTTGGGTTTTTTTGTATGAATACTATTCGATGCACGGGACAGAAATTGTACACCGTTGCAACTTGAATCTGCATACAGGAGGGAAATAGTTAAAAAAACATTAAACTGCTGCCCACCTGGAGTTTTCCTTGAAATGGCTGATTCCATGCGTCCCTGTGGGGATGCAACGGGATTTTGATGGGCTGGAGGCAGGGCACAGCGGGTGGTGACTAAGCTGATGGGGGCTAGCAGCGAGGAGAGGGGTGGGAAGCAGCTGGGGCTCGAGGACTCCACTCCGGCTTTCCCTGAGGGATGAACGCCTCGCTCCCTGGATCAGGGCCTGCCTGTCTATTAGCTGGTAGAGAGCCGGTAGGGAGGCTCGTTGCAGTTTTTCATCTTCTAGTGCTAGTTCTCAGCCATTAAAAGGGGGAGCCTGCTCCGAGGGGAGAGGTTTGGGGATAATGTCGTACTGTCTTTAATGAGGGGAAAAGGAGAAGAATTATAGGCCAATCAGGTGTACTTCAATTCCTGGAAGCAGCAATCAAACAAGCGACTTGCATGCATTTAGAAAATACAAAGAAACAAATTCAGCCTGGGTTTGTCTAGAGCAAGCTGTGTCAAGCTGGCTTGATTCCCTTCTGTGACAGAGGGATTCGTTTTGCGAGTGGTGGCAGCGGTCAGCCATCCCTCCGGAGTTTCAGGCGCCGACACCGTCTCACACAGCATTCCTACCAGCAAGCCAGGGAGACGTGGCCGGGGTAAAAATGCACTTGCGAACTGTTCTCTAAATACGTTTTCCTGAACTGGAAAGATAGAAGGAGAGGTGTGTTGAAAGGTCCCTCCTGAATCCGGCTCTGCTCAGTATGTTCATTCATGGCTTAATGATGGACCGGAGAAGGGGCTTCACCTGTCCCGCACCACCAGTGGCTGCAAGGATGGCAGGCACAGCGAGGGCAGTGTCCACATCCAAGCAAATCGGAGAAATGGTCTGAAAAAAAAGATGCTACTCGGTAGAGGCAAGTCCAAGACACTGAGGACGGATTAATCAACTGCATAAATACACTCTAGGGAACAACCTGTTTTTCAGAGAAGGATGTGGTGGCTGCAGTGAGTCACAAGCTCTACGGGAGTACATTGCTGTGGAGGGAGCAAACACCACCCAGGCAGGTAGGAGCAGAGCCTGTAGGACAATAGCTGGTCCCCTCGTCTTTCTTGGCACACGTAAAGCTGTGGTGAGACTTGTGGCCAGCTCTGGAGGCTGTACTTTGTGCGGACAGCCTGGAGAGAGTCCAGAGCACTGTAAGACAGCAGGCAATGAAGAGGTTCAGCGGGTTCGTAAACGTGAGAGGGCAGCAGTTTAGCCTTAAACAGACTTAAATAACAACAGGAAAGATCTGTGTGGAAATTAGGAGATGCTTCCCCTCCAGTAAGGTCAAAATGCTGAAGAGGTGGCAGGATCTGCCCTCTCTGTCGCTGGAAGACCCCAAGAGCAGGCAGACCCATGTCTATCAGGAGCAAGGTGGGACATGGGAAGAGACGGAATGACTTCAGGGGGTCCCATCCAGCCCTCATCTCCTGTAAGGTGCCCTTTAGTGGGATATATCCCAGAAGGAAGATTAGCTGAATATAGTTTTGCTGTCACACTTAATTACTTTTGGCAGCACAATGGCATGGGGCATTTTCTCTGCTAATGTAAGTGAATTGCCAGCTGGTCCCGTTAAACGCCACAGATATCTTCTTTAAGCAGCCATATGGCTTTGGGAACTGTCCTTCGCTTTACCTGCTGTCTGAAGGCAAAGGTAGATTAAAAGGAAGCACTTAATTCTTTTGCAAAAAAAAATAATCTGGGCTCTCCCCTCGCCACTGCAAATACCCAGCCGCCCTTGGTGGTGACTGAGCAGTGCTGCCGCACCGTGCTCTCCTTGAACCCCTCGTCACGACTGCAGGGACAAGGCACAGAGCTGAGGCAAAACAGGGCGAATTAGCTGGCCAAGGCCAACTGGAAAATGAGCCTCCTAAGGCTTTCTGGGCAAGTTTCCCTCTGCTAAAGGCACACCTTGTACCCAGCCCACGCAGCACACATCTTTGTCAGCTGCGTGGTGCAGAATGAATGCGGAGGAACGGCCTTTGCAGGAGCTCCCTAACTGCTCAGAGCTCATTATAAAAGGTTTTCTGCCCTTTCTTGGCAGAAATACCACAGGAATCAATACAGTAATGTCACACCGAGGTGGCACAGGAGACAGAAGTCAGGGACTGTTTGTCCAGGCTTTGTTTCGCCTCTAATGAATGCAGCCAAGAAGTTAAGCCTGGTTTCTGAAGGAAGCCCTTGCTCAGCTTCTGGCCTCCGAATTACTGACTTGCACGGCTGCACCTGTGGATGAGCAAATACCCAATAGGATGTGGTTCCACAGGACTCCAGCCCCTCCTTCTGCAGTGGGCATCCAACTCTCAGGGACTGATTGCCAGCCAGTAGTAAGAAATTACCTGTAATCATGCTGTCCACTCCTCACTCCTTTGCTAATTACAGCGCTCAGACCTTGCCAGAAGCAGCAGCAGCAGCTGATTGCGTGGTTCCTATATGCTCGAGCTCTGAAGGAGTTTGGAAAACATCGCTGAGCCTCTCTTCTCCACAGGGCCGCTGCTAGGGCAGGTAACACGGCTGCCCTGGGAAGGAGAGAGAGCAGAAAGTTTTGAGAGACTCAGAAAAGAAGAATATCCCAAAACAGCTGGTAACCTTGCATGAGATGAAGGCAATTCTGAAGACAAGTTGCTCACTTAGAGCTATTCTTTTTTTTTTTTTTTAATCTAAATAGCACCATCCTCCAATCTATGCCTAAGGAAAGTGGGTGAAATAACATTTTTTGCAGTTTCCTACCAAAAGTTGCGGGAGGGTAAGTTCTTTACATATTGTAGGAATGTTACATACCGTTGGGGTCTGCAGCACCCAGCTGGGCTGAGGCACGCCATGGCTGTGAGTTATCTGTGGGCACAAGAAAACTCAGCAGCAAAACCGCCAAAGAGCCATCAGGTGTAGTTTTCCCAGCTCTCGGACTGTGAACGGCATGCCTCGTGCCGTCCAGTACGCCGTGATGTCTTGTTTGCTGCCTTCCTTCAGCGGTCCCCCTGCGGTCAAACCCATGAAATAGCCATGTCAGAGAGGAAAGCGTTTCTGTGAGCGTCACTCAGACTGCTGCTCCGTCCAGCCTGTCCAGCTCGGGCTGGTGAGCTGGAAAGCAGATGAGGATTCCCCCATGCTCTTTGAACAAGAGCCCCAAATGAAATAATCCACTTCAAGTACAAGGATGTTAAATAATGTTTAGCCCTGGCGTAAATGTCTGATGGTAGAGCAGCTGTTGTCTGTTTACTCTGCAGCCCCAATTTATTTGTTCTATTCTGGTTCTCCGTGTGTTTTGGATATATCGTCTACAGTTACATTTCTCCCTCTCTCTTTCTTTCATGTTCCTTTGCCTCCTTTTGTTCACCATCAAAGTCTCACAAGGTAAGTTTGTTTCTGTTCTTCCTCCTCCTCCTCCTCACACCCCGTGGCAGCTCTCCACGGAGAGCGGCGAGCGCTCGGCCAGGGCGAACCATTTGGGATTTGCGTCGGCTGGCGCTGCCTGCTCCCAGCCCAGGTCCAGCCGTGTGCCTGTACGTGCGTGTGTCCGACTGTCTCTGTGTCTGTCCTGTGGCCACACAGCCCCGGGGACATGTTCTCCGCCCAGTGTTCCAGTGCCCCTCGGGCTGCCCCAAGGGCACCCTCAGACCAGGGCAGGGACCCATTTCAGCCTCGGGAGCATCCCAAGGCCACCCTCTGCATGAACCCAGTCCCAGTAGGACAGCCTGTGCACAGACTGGTTTCTTTTTGCCCGAATCTTACTTGCAATGGTCTACAGAAGAAGTGCAATTTCAAACAAACTTGATTAAATCAGTGATTTTGTGTGCGGATACTCAGACCAACTTAATCTCGATCCCAGATCTGTCTGCTTTACAGAACTGCACCTTAACTGGATGGCAGGCATGCTAGCGTAAAGCTGCTTCATACAGAATAGCTATTCCTCTGCAAGAAATGCATTAACTGTTTTCATATATAAACGGTTTAATAAGTTAAGGCTGAAGTATTTTAATAAGTACGTTAAGCATAGGACAGGCCATGTTTTGGCTTATTTTAGACATGTAAAGAGAGATACAGGCTCAGCCACTGTAACTGACTTCCAGCCGGCTTAAAAACTAATAGACGGACTGAAAGGATTCTATTATATCTTAATAAAAGGCATGGCTACGCATGCAAGTTACTGTAAGCATAACCTAGCTTGCTTACTTTAGCCCCAGCTCTCTGGTCCTTGTGGTTAGTTGGGTTTTTTTTACTGTGCTCCCTAAACAAATTAAATTGATGCTGTAGACAAGCCCATATTACAGGTCTCCAACCAGCTAATCTTGCCTTCAGAGCTGACTCGCACTCAGAACATAAAGGCATAAGAAATCATCATTTTTCCCCCTAGAAAAAGCTATTTGAAAGAGCTGAGGGTCTTTCTGTTCAGCTGCACATGATGGGCAGCAATGCGGTGCAGGGTAATACGTGCTGATAAGTGTCATTAATCTCCTCCTCTATTCCTTGTGCTCGTTTAGCAGCAGGAGGTCCAGACTACCAAGGCTGGGTGAATGCATGAATTTTCCCAAAGTACAGTGAAGTTCATTTGCCTGGGCCAATTCTTAGTTCAGCAAAAAGTCCCTTAAAGATAAAGGTTGTAGCACCTGCTGGTATGTTGTGTTCAGTTTTGAGGGACTTACTGGCAAAAGCCTCACGTAAGAGTTGGAAAGAAATATTAAAAAGCACCAATAGAAAAATGTTCGAAGAGTTAAGCATTCTTCTGAGATGTGAAATTTCAGAGTTATTTGAAATTCAAAATATAAAAATGACAGGCTACTTATGTTATTTAAACAAAGAAAAAATACTCCAGCTTTTTAAGAGATTTTGAGTTGAAAGAGCTTTGCTCTTGCAGACAGCGCAGGTAAGGACACTTTGGTTGCTTCTTGCAAAAAGAACATCTTTTGCACCAATGCTATCATAACAGCAATTCCAGCTTCTCTTACAAAGAAAGAGGGTAAAGCCTCTGGTGCAGTCATTGCAACCACCTAGGAAAGTGTTAAAAAAAAAACCCCAGTATTTTTCTCGCTATCCTGTGTCAGCACAAGAGCTGCGGGTGCTCTCCTATGGCCATTCCCTGCTCTAGCCCCCCCTGGGAAGGAGCTCTCCCCTATGGGATTTGCAGCCTCCCCTCAACCACTCCGTACAGGATAGTAAATAAAGCAGGGCCCCAGTCCCCCGAGGAGCTGGGGTGAGCAGTGGGACAGGCTCCTTTAGCCCTTGCGGCATCTGTGTGGCTGTGACACAGCGGGGGCCAAGCATGAGCCAACACAGAGCCCCCTGAGGGCTTTGCTGCCTTGATCCAGAGGTGCATTAGACCCCATGGCCACGGGGAGAGGAGGATCCAGGCAGTTTCCCAGTGCAGTTGGGTTTGCTGCTAGAAAGGTCCGTTTTCTCCAGCCCTGCCGGATGGCAGCTGTGCCCCAACAAAAGCACCTGTAATTCTGCTGGGCTGGAGCAAAGCAAGAGCATAACAAGGCAGGAAGAATATCATTAGGAACATCATTAGGGAAAGGGCCCGCAGAGGCATCATGAGGTCTGTGTTTGAACTCTGACACATCAGCCTGTGATTAGAAGTGTCCCTCTTCTCCAAGAGATGTTTGTTCACCTCTGCAAATGGCAGTGCAAACTGGTTGCTGCTGGAAAGCTCTGTTAGCAAAAGCCAGCATGGGAGCTAAAAGGTGGAGAGAGGAAAGCAGCCTCCTCCTACCTGGCAGTCCTCTGGAAGGATGAGGTTCAGACATAGCTCGCGAGTAGAGATGCGCGTGTGTCAGATGCACGACCAGCAAGCTGCCAGCTCGGCGCTTGGGAACAGCGGTGTCTCTGGAGCGCTGTAGAAGGGCAGACGTTCTTAGGTTATTGGGCTGTACTGGAATTAGCGGCTGCTGCTACGTACTGTGCCTTTACAACCTATTCAAGCAGACGTGGCTCTGCCCAGGCCCAGGCCGGCGGCAGGCAGGCACCGCAGCGGCAAGGCTGGCC